GCAATATTAGTGCCGGGTTACTTGGCATCGTAATCATCATCAGGATGATTAAACTCATATTAGACACTATCCTGCATGGTGTCGCCTTACATTCTGTTTTTGGTTGTTCCTTATACTTAATAGGAGCCCTTTGGGACTCCCTTACCCAACTATTATTACACTTCGGTGGGAAGAGCAAAACTGGAGACAACCACCCTATGGGAACACAGGAAGTCAAAAGTTTGAAAAACCTCAGCAACGATCCCTCACCTATAATTACTGCGCCATCTTGTCCACCCAACGTCATTGAATACCAACAACTTCGATCTACCTTCCCTCAAGAAGACAGCAACTCATACTCTTTAAGCCTCACGGCGTAATGTACAATAATTAATCCTTCACTCACTCCGTTTGCTCTTATTACAGGAATGGCCATATCTTATATCAATACTCACTTGCTGACACGGGGCCAACTACCTGTATACATCACACGGGTAGAATCCCCTACCCTTTTTTGGGTCCAACTAGAATATACTAGAACCAGGCTTACGGAACTACAAGAAGATCTGAACTGCCTGATGGAGAGAAGGAGAAAACGATACACCTTGTTTCCCCACGCCGTCCACTTGAAACAGGCAGTAGCGGTAAAAAACAAAGGTAATTGGTACAGAGGAGAGGTCACGGCCATCCATGCGAACTCCGTGACAGTACATTTGGGTGATTGGGGCCGAAACACGAAGAAGGCAATGTGGGAAGTATACAGGCTGCCTAAACACCTCTGCGAAGATTCGTGGTACGCTATAGCCTGTGGGTTGTGTGGAGTTGAACCCACAGATCCCGGCTCCACATGGGGAGATAAAGCGCGATCCCTAACAAGAGCTTTAATTGAAGACGAAAAGGGATCGATGAAAATTAAAAGGACTACCGCAGTTCGAGCCGCAGAAATCGACCTACGGATTCATTATAAAAACCAGTTGGGATCCGTCATCCTGAGAGAGGAATTAGTACGGCTGGGACAAGCACAGTTAACCACCGATACAAATCAACACCCGCACCCGTTTACGCGATAAGTATACTTATTATTATTCTAATTAATAGGGAAAACGCAAATAACAATGCGCGATATACCTTCACTCACGGGTACATAAGTGCACATATGCGCCTTTTATTTTCGCCTATATATATATATGTTTATAAACTCCTAGACTTATAAATAATCACTTATATCTACATACGCATATGTATCTCTATGCGTTCTTTCTTTTTCCAAAAAAAAAAATGTAATTTCATAGAAGGACGAAGAAATGAAGGAAGAGGAATTGGAGGTTGCCTTCTTCTTCCTGCTTCTAAAACAATCTCCCTTCTTATTTCTCTTTAGGTATTCATGTAAAGAAGGACGAAAGAATTTAGTAAGAGAATCAAAGAACGTCTATTCTTTCCTCCTTCTAAAAACAACTTGACTCTTTATAAAACTCTTTTGTCTCCATTACATATTTCCTTGGAATATCGCCTAATAATTTTAGCATACCCAAAAGCAAACCGTTAAGACCCAAATACTTAGGATTACTTTCGGTTTAAGAGCTAAGGTAACTTACGGAAAACACAAAATACGACACCAACAATACGCAAATAACACTCTATCCTTACTTAAACCCACCCATGCCGAATTATTGAACTAAATGTCAAACCTTCGTATACTCCACTTTCAAATGTTGGTACCCCCAACATTTGTCTAAGGCGAGGGGTGTTACGTCCTGTGCAGACATGAGTCATGCACTCTATCTTTGCCTCCTCTGTCAGGAAACAACAAACTATTCCGAATCGTAAGACCTTTTTTTTTGTCTTTCCCCAATAAAAATTCCGACTAAAATTCCGAAATAACCCTGGAAAATACAGCACTAAAACTCCTTAATCCGCAAAGTAAACTTCACCGGACCTTATCCTTGGGATCAAAGGAACCGCTGGATAACAAAAAATTATGTCCGTTACATTTTCCAACTTACGTTGTTCGGTTCCGCCTCATCTGCTGATTCCCTCACCACCTTAAAAATCCTCCAATAACCTTCTCTTTTGAAACGTATGATTTTCTCCACCCACAACCCCAGCCAAGAAGATTTCCTTAACACTGTCTACTTACTTACTACTGGATACAGCAGTCCCCCATACCATTTTCTCTGACGAATCCAACAACCTAGGAACCCCCAAATTTCCACATCTTCCCTACCAAACCATTTCCAGTTAATATCGTATATAAGCGCGACTCCGCGCACCTCGGCCTCTTCTTACGCTCTTTTTACCTCACTTCTCTTGGACGTCACTTCTCTTGGACTTCTCTTACTCTTGTGCTTCTACTACCACTGAGGAAAAATCCAAGTACCCTAAGAGTTCAGCTACTCAACTCTCTGTGCTTATTGCTGTATTCATCGTGCGATCGTCCACAACCCTCACACACAAACACCAGGTTCTATCCAGACGAGGATCGAAAGGGACCCAACTGAGAAATCCAGCAACAGTTACTCTCTCCTCCAAATCGCACATCAACAGTAAGTTATAGTTTGTTACTCGTTTTCTTCAATATCAAAACTTTAACTCCGGGTAGCTCGCGTACAGTATTTGTCCCGGATTACGCACAGGTTCCTTCCTAGACTCCTAGAACTTTTCACTCTCTTTACCTCCCAATGATCCTGAACATTAGTGCTCACCCTCACCCAGAAGTCCACACACACACACACACACAAACACACACACACGCGCGTACTTTGTCTCCGTGCTAGTAATTAATAAAAATTGTAACAACCCCGCGAGGAAAATAAATGTAATCGTTAAGAATTATCTAAATTCCAATTCAAATTATATCACAATTTCTTTTCGAATCCTTCCCTTTTCCCCCTTCATTTCTCTTATCCGCTCTCGGTCCGTCCGCGATAAAGAGATTCAGTTCTCTGATCGAAAAAGGACCACTCGTCGTACGTCGGTACACGCGTAAAGTGATCCTTCTGGTCGCTGACTCGTAACTCGACCTGCTAGTACGATCGAGGCTTTACGTCGTGTTGCGTTCTCTACCAGGACGTAACATCCAGACGTAACAATATACAGTCATCAATAAGTAGTAAAGAGCAATATAAAGAAAATGAAGATAATAGGTTTAAGCCACCAAGGCGCAAACCATATTCTATGAAAGACTGTGCTATCAGAAACAGAGCTCTCTATGAACGCCGTCGGAACAATGAGGAAATAGAAGAAAAACGTACGACAGAAATTATAGAATTAAGGAAGACATTTGAAAAAAATAATGAAATTCAAGAAAATAGAAACAAACTTTTACAAGATTTACTGGAGGAATTAAAAACATCTAAAAAATAAAAATCTTAACATCATCTAAAAAAATTTATCTAAAAAACATCTAAAAAATAATTTACAGAGAAAAGCAAAAAAACATAAAGATATAAAGTTAAAAACGATGTAAGACTGTAGTCTAAAAGTTAAATAGAGGAAAAGTTTATAATATGGAGATAGCTTCTAATATGGAGAGATAATTTTTCTAGTCCATATACAGGGTGAATATTATATACCGGAACACCTGAATATCTCGAAAACAAAGCGTTGTATAAAAAAATGTTAAATACAAAAGTTGTAGGGTTTAAAAAGATCTATTTTATGATATTAGCAGTTTGACCTTGAGTTGCTTCATAAAGATCAGGTCACAATGATGTTTTTAAATGGATACCCCCATTTTTTATTGTACAGGGTGAGTCATCTGAATCTATCACCTCCAATAACTCGT